TCACGCCTTGCTTGAGCTTGCGCAGACTTAGATGCGCTTTCATATGTATGATACGACGTATTAGTTGGAGTACTTTCTTTTGGTTGAACTGCTTGAACATGAAGTGATGTATGGTGTCTCAGGTGACAGGTTCTGCAATTGAAGGAGCTACTGCACCTTGACACCGTATGTCTGGAGGATAGACAATTCAAGCAATTCATTTTCATAGGAACACAACATTTTTATTAATATAGAAGATATAACAAAAGTTCAATAACAAAAAAATATAATACGTTAAAACTTGGCAAAAAGTGGTTCGGTTATAATTTTTTGACCACTGTATGTATTTTTTTTTTCAGAACCCAAAAATGGAGAATCTAAAGAGTTATTTCTCACCAAAGGAAAAATACGCTATAATTTGCATATTGTGCACAAAAGTGGTGAAAACCAGTGGAAACATATCAAATATGCGTGCGCATATTAAAGCAAATCATCATCACATATCTCTTCAGTTCTTCCAGATTTACATAAAAAAGGCGTGAGTACTAGGTACTCATGAAATTTGATGTGTAAACATGCGTACGGAAAAGCACAAAAGTACGTTTACATACATGGTACAATTATTACAGGTATTGTCTTCCCAGAGAGCGCATATTCCGATCTGCCTTATTTGAAAAGCATTATTGTTGCCAACACTAAAAGGTTTACTGCAAGGGAAAAGGGATATTTCAATACACCATATACCATGTATGTACACGTATTTTTTTTAACAGACCTTCTTGCAGAGAACTTATTTAATTTGCAAAAGCCGAAAAATAAACAATTAGTTACTAAACAATTTCAAAATTTTTACTGCTCACTTTATTTCAAAAGTTTTTGATGTGTATACATCTTCGGGTTCGGTAGGGATAAAATTTGTGAAGCTGTAACGCATAGCCCAGCAGAAGATTTCGGAGGGCTTAGCATGTGTATTGCAGCAGAAAGTTTTAATTTTCATTAGAGGCACCCTGTGTTTACTTGCTATTGTAAATTGTTGCATACAACCGAACGTCGATCGAGTAGGACGTGTTTTTGTGGTGCTCTAAAATATTTGCATTTTTCCTCGCTTAAATTTCGAAATTTACCAAAAATTGCTGACCTATCTGTGCACGTGAGTGCTCTTATCTGTTTCTGTCGCTGATACGCACACACTGATTCACATGACTTGCATTAACGCCGATTCAGCTGATAGCTAAACAAGAAAGCGAAATTTCACGCCATCAGCAGCCATATTTGATAGAATGGAGAGGAAACTGGAACAGCAGAGAGACTCTATCATCGAGCAGAAGAGAGGGTAATGCAGCAGATTGGCGTCCTCCCTGCTGAAACGACAAATTTGAAATTCCCCATTGCAGCCATCGAGAAAAGAGTGACTGCTGTTAAGAATGCGTGTGCTGATGTTCTCTGGAAACATTGACACATATGTGGCTCGCAATTCCAGCAGGGCATCAATGTTTTAATTTAGTGAAAAGAAAAGACAAGTTTGTTTGTTTAAATTAATAATTACTTGCTATGTGTTTATTTGAAATGAGTTTGGTTTATTGCTAATTAATTACAATATTACCTTGTGTGAGATGAAGGGTGGTGGTTGATAGGTGTCCGTGCTCGCTCGCTGGTGATTAAAATGAAATGACCGCGCTCTTTTATAAAAGGTTTAGCGGAACCCTCAAACAGCGAACTGTATTGAGGGGAAATTAAAAGCGTTTTCTTTTCTCAAAAAAAGTTCTGCCCTTTTATATGGGAACTCTTGCTTTGCGTTGCCCTGAAACCTGAGAAAATGTTGCGTTCTTTATATGAGAATGAAACAGAAAATATACTACTCCATCACAATTTATTTATAGAACTTAATAAAGCTGAATTATTCACTTGGCCTGTAAGTCTTTAACAATTTTAAAGCAAACCCCTTATTTCTGATAGGGAAAATAATTGCATTTTTACAGAATTAAATTAAAAATCAACCATGCAACTCTCACCCTCACGTTTATTTGAGGGCAGAAAAGGCAGCACTTTCGCCGGATCAGAGCGCAACCTGCCGAGAAAATAACACGACACCTTGTGAAAGGGCTGAGAACAGAACATGAAAATGTGACAGCGCTAACACAAGGCAGAATAAGTGCAGCCTTTTTTCGAGAAAAGAAAACGCTATAAGCTAATTTGTTTATATTAAGTATTTGGCGGGAAATATAATGAAAAAGGGTGTTCGTGCATATTCGTATGCATGTACATATACATATGTGTATGTGTTTGCGATTATATATTAGGGTGGTTCATCCTTTTAAAGTTTGGTTTAGGCTTATGGCCTAAACATGCCGGCCCCCTTGCTATAAGCAACATCTGTTAGGCCAACCACCACACCTACATTACCAAATAAACAAATAAATTTAAAATAAATATTAAATTGCATTCGGCTTCCTAGATATTGGAAAAAGAAGGTTAGTACGAGAGGACATGGTTAAACATTTCTTTGCACATATGTGTATAATAAATTCAAGCAATAAGTAGCTGCCGAGGCCGTGTCTCCAGTCTACCGTGATGCTGTATTTGATAAAATTATGTATCGCTTATATGTAGGCTTTTTGAACGTGGTCGGAAAGGCCCAGATTCCGATCCCCGTTGTGGTATTTGCTTGTACTAATTTGGGTCGGAAAGCCCAAGCTTCCGATCCCATGATGTGATCGGGCGGAAAGGCCGAGTTTCCGCTCCGAGTCTTTCGTTTATGTATATACATATATATTTTTTTTGTTAATATTATTATTGGTTGGTTGGGTGGCGATTAGCAATGAAATTTGGTTATAATTATTGTATGATCTATAATCCAGAGTTTAAATTCAATTGTTTAATTATACAAATTTTACGTGTAAGGATTTGTATACAAGCGTGCAGGGTACTTTAATTCATGAACCGATACATTGTTATCGATTTAGGGTATTAAGGGCCAATTTCAGATGAGCCGTCCAAGTAAAGATTGCTGATTAACGTTAAAATTTCATTTTCAGATCATTTGTATGTATATGCAAACTGCTTATATAGCCATTTAAATAACACTCCGAAATTCAACTCAATTAAATTTTCATTAGAAATTTGCCGTAAGAGTAATTGATGTGCATATGATAATTAACACCTTGGCCTGCCTCCAAAAAGAAAAAATTCCCTATATTTAACATGTGGTGGCGTTCCTTGCTACTTTTACAATTTTTCTTATTATTTCGGTAGGTGTCGCTGATCTTGACAGCTGTGCTTTACTAAGAGATGGGAAATCGCATTTTGTAGCTGGCACTTAAATTACCTAGGTTTCAGAGCTGTAAAACTGTGAAATCATATGAAATTAAAAATCATCAATTTTATGTTATTATGTTTTCATTGAATTTTTCCTTGTTGGGGAATGTGGCTTATAATTTTCCAATTCTACATTCACTCAAAGTAGATACGATTGCACACATTAACATATTCAAAGAAAGATTGAAAAAACTGAATGACGAAACATTAACTTTTAACACTGAATAAGCATTCAGATGAATGCAGCTTTTGCTATGTGTGCACACATTCATTCAGTACCAATCAATCGATATAAATATTCTAAATACACAAAACCCACTGAAAAATACGCAAGGTTGAATTTTATTGAACAGATTTCAAAATTGCAACACGAAAAATAGTTTATTGAGCGTTATCATTAAATTGTTTCACTTAAATTTGTACAAATATTTATAATAAATGAAAATATTAATTAGAGAAATATTGTTCTGCCAAGAATGTCATTATGAAAAATGTCAATTATTAACGATTTTTACATCTCTGTTTCGAAAATTGTCAGCTTTCTAAATAAGTATTACCAATGTACCAATAAAAGGTATGTGCAGAAATTATTACATATGTACATACCTATATATCTACGTTAAAATAAGTAAACAAATTTAAGCGCTTCTACTTCTAACTTTAGATATATACATTTTATTATTTATTTAAAAAATTCTTAATACAAGTTTCTTCGTACTTTTTTCTTCGCTATTGGGTCAAGCATTTAATAAAGATTCTAAAACCTGATTTGTGGGTTTGTGGTGGTTTCTACCATTTACAATAAGTTGCAAATTATCAACTTTTCTCAAAAAAAGATTTAACAAATCTGTGTGCAAACCCCTTTTTATTTTAGTGTGGTAGAATCGAAAAAAATGTGGTAGATTTGAATAAGATGTGGTAGATTTTCCAATTCATATTTTATTGGGTATACATATCGCACACCGTCGTCAAAAGAAGCACAACTCAAAAATTAAATCGGTAAATATAATTGCTAGTGGATCGTACAGATTCCACGCAATTGGTGCAAAAACAAGTATAACATTAGTTTTCTAGTTAGAGAATATAATCATGAAGAAAAGAATATTTTATTTGTATGCAAAAAAATCGACCAAATTATTTTCCCATTGCATAATACTTTAGCAAATATAAATAGGCGTATTTTTGAAATATTAGAAAGTTAAGGCACAGATATATTTAAAGCAAAATTTATGATGTACCTTTTTAAAAATCTATTGATTAATTTTTATATTTCGAATTACAATTGAGTTGAAATTCTAGAGTTATGTGAAAATTGTAAACAAATGTTCTGTCTAAAAATGTGGTAGAATTTAAGCCTTGTGTGGTAGATGTGGTAGACACCCAAATTTAAAAAAAATTACGTGGTTGATCTACCACACATGTGGTAGAAGCTTGCTAACTGTTCTAAACGTATGTTTTGAGCAAATTGATGTTTAAAGCTAGCAATATATCCCATGTCCATTTTCCAAAACTATAATAATAAACATGGCAGTTTTTTAGCAATTTGGTTCCTGTAATTAAGGAAATATTGTAGTTTTGGCATTTTTCGAAATTACCATTTTATGAGAGGGACCAGGTTTAGATAAAAAAACCCTCGTACAGAATTTGGTTGAGATATCTCAACTTTTGCTAGAGTTTTCGTGTACGCAAATAAACGGACATGGACTAATCATCTTCTCTTTTTTTCTGAGCATTTTTATGTATATATACATACATAAGTAGTACATACGAACATAAATGTATGTATCCATATCGATTAATTTTGGTTGTTCCAAATATACGTTATTTGAAAAAAAGTTATGGTACCCTCTTGCAGAACTGCGTTGTAAATATGTTTAGGAAACATTTAAATTAATAGTTAATTAAAAAAGTTGCTCAAAGTAATGGAACTCCTCAACCCCTTAAAAAAAAACAGGAACACTTCTGAAATTTTGTTTTGAAAGTTTTCATATTTGAAAACTGAAAACAATCACAGTATACAGCAAACCAGCCATTGACAATATGCTTATTTGAAAACTAATACATGAAATGTTGTGAATATATAGGATTTTTTTGTCATTAACCCATAGGCAACAACTGGTGCAAAAGTACCTACAAATGTTTGTTGATATATTTGAAATGTAAATTTGAACAGCAAAATTCGTAAAACAAATTATAATAAAACAAAAATATTGTTAATTACTACGTGGGAGGTGGGCGTGGTTATTGGCAGATTTCGACAAAATTTAACACTAACCTAAATTATACCAAAGGCAACTTCGACACCGACTTTCGTTAAAATAACTAAATTTTGTTCGAGTTAGCGTGTTTACAAACAGAGAGGGCTGAACTAGTTCATCTCGTCATTCTGAATATATGTGTATGTACGTACATACATTTTATACGGTTAACAAACGCGCTCGCTTATCTGCATAAACCGTCTTTACTTGCATTAATTCATGCATTATCCTCTTTCAAATGTGAATAATCGGCTGAACAAATACACACAAATTACGTGCATTTGAAAATTGGAGAGTTGTACCATAAGCTAAGTAATACTTCTTTTACCGCCTAATCGATGGGACCATTTTACAAAGTCAGCCCACCATTATTCACTCAAAGTTGTGTTCAGAACACGGTTTGACTTATGTAGGAACTGCATCCGGTCATAATTGCTGACGCTTCACGCTTCATTTGCTTGGAATTTCGTGTTTCTCGTTATTTTATTTTATGTGACTTGAAAATATTTAAATTGGATTTCATTTGGGTTAACGAAAACGACAACTGTGAAAAAATATCAACCAATACATTCAAACAAAATGTCAAATAAGCATGTTTACATTTTTTGTTTTGGCTACCTGGATCACTGTATACTGTGAAAAAAATATTTAGTACAAAAATAATTGTGATAAATCAATTTTGTATATTCTTCTGCGAAAAAATGTCTACAATCGATGATGTATATGTATACATATCAAGATGTGTCTGTTTTGCTCTACGGTTGCGATAAGTTGCTTTGGAATAAATAATATTGCACGAGTCATTGGCTTTGGGTTAGTGGCAGAAAACTTCAATACATAAGTACATATACTTTGAAATAAAATATTTGTTTTTGTTTCAATTCCAGATATGTTCAAACTTTAAAGTATAAAATATATCAACCCTGGGAACAAATTATTGGTACTGAATGGTAAAAAAAAGTGTGCATTCATTCTAAATATACAATCATGTGTGAGTGCGAATGCTGCTGAACATTCACATTCTATACTGAATGGCAATCTAGCATTCAATAACAAAACACAGTTTGTTTGTTTTCAAATATTTTAAGCCACTCAGGAATGAAGTTTTTATTTATACAAACCAACAATCAACATTTTGAAAGGAATGCCGAGTGAATGCAGACTATGTTGATTCAATCATTTTACAGCTCTGCTAGGTTTGTATGTATATAAATGTGCCTAAAAGACCAAACACAGGTTTATACATTTTTATATTTGGCTAAGCAATGTGTTGAAATGTTTTTTTAAGAAAGGTTGCAAAGTTACATTGCAAATGTGCTCAACTTGGATTCTTGTACCGAAAGTACTTTCAGCTTAAGCAAGTCTGAACGGGGTATAATGGTACCTATTTTTCCATCACTGGTTACACTACAGTGGCATACTTTACAATTTCCTGAATGACACAAATGTCAGTCAATTAGCAACCACCACGAGGACATACTATAAGTGAAGCCAAAGTAGAGTAAATTATGCAAATAGTAATATATTTTAATTAAACTTATATTTTTAGGTGCCGTATTGATTAAACACTTGCAATTAGGATCTACGGTTGCCAAACCGTTGTACCAGGTGTAAACCACCAACGAACAAAAACCCACATTCATTAGTAAGAATCCTTAATACCCTGACGAATATTACGATGGGCAATTCGAATGCCGACATGTGCTGCCAAATGAGCCTTCAAAATTGGCACCAAAACGCACGAGAGGAAAAAAGATTTAGAACCTGTTGAAGCGATGAGAGGCGTTGGAAACTGTCACCTACCCGCAATCTTCATATAGACACCTCAAGAGGTGCTGCTTGTACGGCTGTGAAAATCGACAGATTCAACGAAAGCGAAATTTAATTTATACAATGGTACATTTTATGCTTTGAAATTTAACACGTAACTCTTACAACAGCTATGAGGCACATCAGTGAGAACAAGCTAACAATTTTTAAAACGGAAGCAATTGAACGAGGTAAGAACAACTTTTTAAAGGTTTCGATTCGTCAGTAATAGACTTTTATACAGCTAGGTTCCTGACTCCCTCAATATTACCTTACGGTTCTGTGGTTCAGAATAATCAATTAGCAGTACCAGACTCCACCAAGATGCTATTTGCTAAGATCTCACGTTCGCGCAACAATGCCGCAGTTTTGCAAACATAAGTGTGCTCATCAAAACCAAACACAGGCTGTTTGCGAAATGGCGTGAGAGTAAGTGTAAGAGTAGTATGTACAAATGAATATACATTAAAATGTGAATATAAAAAGGAAAGATGTGCTGCAGTGTGTACATTAGGGCATTGTTATATGAGGGCATTTTGCTGGCACAACCAATTTTGGAATCGTTAAGGTTCACAGACAATGAGTGGCTGAAGGAATTATCAAAACCCTTTATTACAGAGATGACGAATTGATCGCAGTTCTCGATTTTATGGTGCCAGGTGCAAGGTGCATAAATGTCAAAAAACTCTCATTACTTATGTATGTAGCAGGGTTAGAACTTTACTATGATCGTAGTAAATTTACAACGATTTTCTAATATATTAGATCTACTTCGATTTTCTGTGGGAATAATAAAAAGTCCTTACTAAAGTGTATCTGAACCAAAAAAATACAAGAATTTTCTTATTCTCCAATGTTTATAGATCCATTTCATTTATATGAAAGCATTTCACAATAAGCTCATATCCTATCTTTTGTAAGCATGTAACTAAGTTATATGAAAAGAATTGGCTAAATTTTGGCACTTCCGAACTTGTACATAGTATGTATGTATGCGTGCATCTCTTAATATACATGAGTATTTATGAAAGGAATTCATGGTTGAAGCGTCATTTAAAAGCACTGTTTGCTGCTCTTTTTTAACACTGTACAAGCCACTTAATTGTATGTCCTGGACCTATTTTGGAGGCTCCCAAGAAAATCTAAACATACCTGAACGCGGTTTAAAACTAGATTTCTTCATCGCGCCAAAGTCTAAGTTTTTAGGAATCACTGCCGTTGAATATGCCATCTGATATATCGCTAGCTTAGAGTGAAATGTTGCTAAGTCCACTTTTTATGAACAATTAGTTTTTGATGCAGGAAGCAAGGAATATTGAAAATGCACCGTTTCTGAAAGGATCTAACTACTTGTTTTATTTCTACCCGTTTTATTCCGTGATGTGCAAAATTGCTAAGTCCAAAGTAGTCACAGAAAATTTGATAACTCCAAAAAAATATGAATTTTTTACGCTATCGAATTCGATTTGTATTGAGGGTTTTTGCAACAACATTATTTTGGAATATTTATGTACATATGTATGTATGTATATTAGGCTGGGTCGATTTTGTATGGAGGCATTTGACCGTATAGTAATAGTAATATTATGATGTCTTAGGTCTAAGCCAATTGTTATTGGCCAAGAAAGATTAATTTAAAATTTATCTTTAGTACGCGCAATTGAATCAAAGTGTATGAATTTTGAGAATGAAATTTTGGCTTGTATTATCTGTGGAATGCGTTCATTGTTATAAACAGGACGATATATCAAATTAGGGTTATTAAATTTAGTACCTCACGTTCATTTATCATTTTTCAATAAGTCTACAAGTTTTTAAGATATTAAAATAAAAAAATAAGAAAACTATAATTTTCCCTTATGAATTTTCAATTCTTCATAACTTCAGCAACCAAGTGAAAAATAAAAAAAGTGAGACGATATTTATTTCAAACGTTTTAATGCTTTCGGATGTTTATAAGATATTAAAATGAAGTCAAACATGTATTGTCAAAGATTAGGAATCGTTTGATAAGTTAATAGTAGTTGCAAGCATAAATATAAGTATTTGCATACATTAACATAATACAATTAGGGCCCATTTTGAGTCCATTTTTCGTGGTTTCTAAATTTGCCGTTATATGAAAGTAGGGGACGTGCAACAAGTGTTTACATAAATATTTTAGTTAATTCCATAATGTGAAAAAGTAACTGTAGGTAGGTAAATGCAATAGTCTTTAATATATCCTGGAAAATCCTTTTGAGGACTCTCCAATCGGACGATATTGCTTTACATTCAGCTTGAACGAAAAAAGTCACTCTCTGGCATACTTTTCTGTAATCCCGTTCTTTCATTTAAAGGTTCTTTATAAAATTGAAGAGAATTTTTTTTTAGAAAAAAACTGGAGATCCACTTAAGTTTTTCGATATAACTTTGGTAAATGTTACTCGATCGGCACGTAATAATTACCAAATTGATAATAATAATAATGATAATATAAGTATATAAAGCTGCTCGTCAAAACCTAGACCATACGATGTTCTTTATTTGGATCACACTTTTTTAAATCATTTAATAACGTACAGTTTTGTAAAAATATTCGTCCTGGACGTGGTAAAGGCGATGCCAAAGTAATAGATGTTCGTGGTATCTGATACACACCAACCGGTGAAATATTTTTTAAACTTAGGTTATCAGATCCATGGAAAACTCTTCCTCAAAGATTAGACACAAGTAGAGTCCCGTTACAGTGGTCCAGTTTGCAGCAACTTCACCAAAGCAGACGCCGAATTACAGCAAGAAAGAACGAAGGTTTTCAGTATTTAAAAGCAACTTTGCCAAAAGACCATCATAATTTTACGATAGTTTGCCACATGAATGATTTTTTGGTGTGTAGTTTAGTTTCAGCGAACAATAAATACTATTAATTTAATCTACCAATAATTGTTTGTTCATTATTATTTTAATGTATAAGTTGTTGTTTATAATAAACAAGTTCGCAACTACGTTTCAAATTAAAAATATGTATAAAAAAAATCTCATCTTCTTTTTCAGAAAATTTATTTAGTCTGAACCGAAAATCCCATTAATGGGATCGTAAAAGAATGGCCGCTGTGGTGTAGTGGTAAGCAGTGCGCGCTGTCACTGCGCAGGGCCTGGGTTCAAGCACTGGTCAAAGCAACATTACAAACAAATTTAGAAGAGAAGGTTTATCCTTAACAGCGGTCGCCCCTTGACAGGCAATGGCAAACCTCCGAGTGTATTTCTGCCATGAAAAACAGCGTAAAACTGTAAGTCCCTTCCCTTTGTGTGACAACATCAGGGCGCACACCACAAATCGGAGGAGAAGCTCGGCCAAACACTAACATATGTGTAAGCGCCAATCTATTACACAAGGGAAAAAAATGGGAAACAATATCGTTGCATCAAATGTTAATACTGTTTTGGATAGACTTTTTTATGCTGATTACGAATCTGTAAGTATAAAGTCTCCATCAGCTTTAGGTTTGGAAAAAAACGAGGTCAAAGTGTCAAAAAACCGCGTTTTTTGCAATATTTTAGAAGCCATAGCAAAGAAACTAAAGGTGATATTAGGCTTAAATTAAAGCTAGAAGTCTCCACTACTATCCCTGAAAATACCATCCCTGCACCTTGAATTGATGGTCAGTTATAGTAATCAGCATAAAAAAGTCTATCAAATAGCTTTAACATTCGATGCAACAAAATCACTGTTCCCTTGTGTTATTATTATTATTCAAACCATTTGTTCTAACAAATTGTTTCTTAAAATGTACCTACGAGAGGGATTTTTCGTATTGTACATATTGGAAAAATTCATGGAAAATTTGCTAAGTCCAACAAAAAAATTTTAGGAAAAAAGTAGAAAATTTGATGTCACAAAATTATCTACAAAATTTGTAAAAAAGCAGACTTTTATAAAATTTTTTTTTTTTAGTAAAGGGTAAATGAAAAACGCGAAACATTGCATTCAAAGTTTTGCAAAATACTTAAAGAAAATTACTTAGGAACGTTTTTTGTGTCTCCTGTACAATTGAAAAAAATGGACTTAGCAACTTTGCACTCTAAGCTAGCGATATGTAGGTAAATATGTGACTATCTGATACAATTTTGTCAGTTGCTTAACCCAATGGTTTCCTCCTCCTCCAGTGTTTTGGAAACTGATATTTCACTTGCACTTGATCATGAATGCTGTTTGTTTTAAGGTTGAAGTATTGTTGCTCTGTACTACAGTATTTCGTATGAAGTGAAATTGGCGAGGTCGTTCCGTTGCGCCACCACTTTAGTTTTCTCTAGGTCATATGCGGGTATACGTTCGTACGACCATGTGTGCCTCTTCGGTGTGAGGACTTATTACGAGGCGTAGCGTCAGTGCCTCCCCCGCCCAAAAAGTTGGAAACTAAGATTCGCCGTGGCTTTGGCGTTTGTGTACTAAAATATTTCTCTATCTTTTGAGTTTTGGTTTTTGAGACTGTTTCTGATGAAGTAAGACGCTTGATGAAAGAAACCGAATTGAAGGAAGATCCGCGTTTAATTTTTTGGGATATCGGCTCTGTCTGGCCAGTTATTATCCAGCCGAAGACGGATTCTTGCGCTAGTAGAGTTCCTTTCCTTTTGATACCATTTAATATTATCTGGGCATATATATCGCCGCCCAAAATAAGATCAACTTGTTCATTTTTGAAGAAGTTCTTGTCCGCTAAGAGAAGGCCCGGAAACACTTGCTTAGTCTTAGCATTTACTTCGCAAGTCGGTAAATTTCCGGTGAGTCGTGGTAGAACTACGACTTGCGTACTTATACTGGTTGAAGGGTCAATGGGTGACCGCAGATGAATGACGCACCTTTCTTTTACTTGTGCAGAAACACTCTTTGAGGGCAGGTTGATTTTTCGTTTAAGACTTTCTGTTATAAAAGAGGCTTCTGAACCGGAATCTATTAATGCGCGGGCCGAAAAGTTAGTATTATTGAAATTTATATTGACACGCGCTGTTACTAATAGAACCCCTTTTCTCGTATTATCAAAGCAAGATTGAATGTTATCTGCTGAATTAATATTTGCAATTGCATCACGCCTTGCTTGAGCTTGCGCAGACTTAGATGCGCTTTCATATATGTGATACGACGTATTAGTTGGAGTACTTTCTTTTGGTTGAACTGCTTGAACATGAAGTGATGTATGGTGTCTCAGGTGACAGGTTCTGCAATTGAAGGAGCTACTGCACCTTGACACCGTATGTCTGGAGGATAGACAATTCAAGCAACTGTGAATGCTCTTAACGAAAGCGATTCTATCTTCTGCTGTTAGCTTCAGGAATTTTTGGCACCTTTGTAATTTGTGCTCGTTGCTCTGGCAAAATTTGCAAATTGTCTCGGCTACACTCGTTTGGTACGACTTTAATCTTTTTTGTGGAGTTTCGTTTGTATGCCTACTAGTGTGCGGCTCTGCAGTGGGGTTAGGTTTAATGCCTCTTATATCTGAAACGGTTTCTAGAGTTTGAAACCGTTGTGAAAGAAAGTTATCCATGTCCTCCCACTTGGATATTTCAGTTTTGCTTTCAAGACTTTGCTCCCACAATGCTAATGTAGTTTCTGGTAACTTCGTTGGGCAGAGATATGTAATGATTGCATCCCAGTTTGATGTGTCCATCTGTTGACACTATAATGTCGAGATGCAATTATTAATATCTCGCTGCAATTGTAATTGCCTGTAAGTTGAACAGAATCTTTAATTGGGCATTTA